CTTCAGTCTCCACCTCGAGGCATGTTAGTGTCGATCAAACGTCCGCTCACGTCTGATTTGCCGGAAAAACGGTCATCTTGAGGGGGAAGCCACTGCAGCCTGCTTGCATCCTTGTGCCATGTTGCGGACTGTGTCAGGGCAAGGTGTGATGTCATGTCACGTGATTTGAACGCGTCGCGCGTACTCACGTGTTGCTGTGCCACGCGGCGGCCAATCAACGTGCTCGGGCGGAAATGACAGGTCGTGTCCGACGTCACGTCCCCGACGCGAATCTCTGGGGCTGGGAGATGCTTGCAATCGTCGCGATACTCTTACGACTCGTCATAGTTTCCTTACTATTATCTTCGTTGCTCCACGCATCTCCGCTTTCCCCATATTCTACGTCGATTGACAGTGCCACCATGAGTCTAAAGCGTAAAGCAGCGGCAGCGGCAGCGGCCACGGACGCGTCCAAAAAGCCCAAGCAGAACGGCAGCATTACCGCCTTCTTTGGCGCCCCGAAACCCAATCCCAATGCACCACCCAAGCAGTCTGCTGCAGCCGCAAAGTTCGATAGAGATGCATGGGTCGCCAAACTCACAGACGAGCAGAAAGAGCTGCTACAACTTGAGCTCGACACGCTACACGAGAGCTGGCTGCCGCATGTCAAGGATGTGCTGCTGACACCCCAATTCCTCGAATTGAAGAGGTTCCTGAAGAAGGAGTTGGACAGTGGGAAGACTGTATACCCGCCGATGAAGGACGTGTACTCCTGGTACGATCTCCCACATCTTCCGGGTGCCAGCTTGAGTAACGAAGACTAACACTGATCAGGTCGCGACACACACCCCTCAACACCGTCAAGGTCGTCATCACAGGCCAAGATCCATACCACGGCCCCAACCAAGCCCACGGACTCTGCTTCTCCATCCGTCCACCGAACCCTGCGCCGCCTTCGCTCATGAACATCTACAAGGCCCTCGAGAAGGAGTACCCAGACTACAAGCGACCCCCGAACAAGGGTGGTCTTCTGACTCCATGGGCCGATCGTGGTGTTTTGCTCATCAACACCTGCTTGACTGTCCGTCGCGGCGAAGCGAACTCACACTCGGGCAAGGGCTGGGAGCTGCTTATGCAGAAGGTCATCGATACGGTGGCCAAGGTACGGACGAACGGTGTCGTCTTTCTGGCCTGGGGCAGTCCGGCGCAGCAGAGGACTAAGGGCATCCCGGTGGACAAGCATCTTGTGCTGAAGAGCGTACATCCTAGCCCGCTGAGTGCGGCGAGAGGCTTCGTAAGTACCGCCTTTCGAAATATCATGATTCAAGTGCTAACGATGTGTAGTTTGACAACGGTCACTTTAGGAAGTGCAACGAATGGCTGGAGCAGCGTTATGGCAAAGATGGTGGCATCAATTGGGACTTGAATGTTGATGCTGAGAAGACTGAGCTGTAGTCGTATACTGTTCTAGTCCAACCTTTCGGAGTTTTGAAGGCTACAATGAGAAGCTGAAGTTAATAAGTGCTGACCGTGGGTGAGTTCGAGGCATACATGAGACTAGATGTGGTACATTAGTGACAAGTGGAGGTGCGTTGTATGTATACATTATTTTAGTGGTTGAACGTTATAACGTCGAAAAGGAACTGAGATCCTCCAGCCTACTACAGCAAACCCCGCTCCAACAGACCAAAGTGAGGCCAGCAGTTCCTCCCCACACTCTAACTAGACTCGCAATTTACCTTCCACCTCTGGAAAGACACGAGCAAGTCCAGGGCTCTGCCATTAGGTTTATGCAGTGTAGTATACAGCCACTGCTATATCGATATGCCGTACTTATCCTGGAGTCTTCGCATCACCATCCAGTGAACCAGATCCCGCGCAGCAGTTGCATCTTCCAAGCTATCATGACCTTTATTGCCTTTGGTCTGAATGTCCGTGTCCAGGTACTTCTTTAGCAGTGTCTTCAACGCCAGATCACCCGTGCCCTTTTTCTTCTTCTTCTTGGGCTCACCCTCGGTTGGGTTGGTCGAGTCGCCTATTGTCTGCGCATCGGTCGCTGGGGTGAGCATGCTACTCGTCGCTAGTCCTGTGACCTCCAGAAGGCACTCCTCCACCCTTCTTGCCGCCTCTTCACTAAGCTCTTTTTCTCTAGCTTCGATTGCCTTCTTCTCCTGAATGATCTTGTGCTCTACGACGTAGGAGTCTACGACCTTTGTGTGTATCCACTTCAGCGCCTTGAGGTCATTATGAACGCTGTGTCCAACGAGAATAGTGTCTGGACCGACAAATTTCCACAACAGTTTTCTCGCCCCAGTCTAAAATTGGTGTACAGAGTCAGCCATGTCTTCCTTCAGCTTGTTCACGTAGTGACTTGCCTTCCCCTTTAGCGTGGTCTTTTCTCTTATAGCTTCGTTCATCTGATCCCACGTAACGCCCGACCACTTTGTGTTGAGATGTTGCATTGGTTGATCAGGCTTAACAAGATTGTTAATGAGCACTTCTCCGGTTAAGTAATCGATGGCGCTCAGGCGAATGAGCTCAGAATCTCCACTCCTGGCTGTTCCCATCTTCAAAATGGGAGTGAGAAGTCAGCATGTCTCACACACATTCTGTAGAGCTAGAACATACCTCGCAATCGATTGCTACGGCAAATTTGGCGTTCATCCTGCGGTCCGCATCCCAATGACGAAAAGGTGGAGTCGGTTGGAATTGATGTAGGCGTTCGAGCTCACCTGGTCGATATTCGCGTATCCTGTGTTTGTCGGAAGTCCTACATGGCTGGGCCTCCGAGACGTGTTTTCCGCAACACAACCAGCACTAACAAGATTAGTTGGGTTAGGCAATGTTGAGTCAGCCTGCGCTCACCTTTGTCGCGCGGTCGACTGGCGCTGAGTGGTGGAGACACTCTATTGTGCAATACTGAATTCCAGAGCTACCGTTCTCGTATGGTACGATCATACTTGGCAATGTCTTGTAGGGTGTGTCAGGTGGATGTGAGAGAAGCTGTTGGCTACGGCGCGTTATGGCCTGTTGCAAACCCTTGCTGAGCTGTTGGATAGCTACCAGAAGCTTAGCAATATTCTTGAAAATCAATGTGCATAGTCCAGGCACTGAGCTTGTACTAACTTTGATTGCATTTACTGCATCTTCGTTTCAGATGAATCTCCTCGTCTGTCAACTGTGCAAAGTTGTAGCCATGTTTTCGCAGAGCATGTGTGGGTTCTAGCAGGCTTAGAAACTCTCGAATGTAGTAATCCCCGGGCGGTAGTTCGAGTATTGAAGGTGCTTGGCCCTCGCATGCTTCGGGTGGAGGGGGATATGGGACGACATCGCTGGGTTGGGTTGGTTCCCTTGCTCCAGTGTTCATGATCCAAGAAAAGTCTAGAACTCGGCTTCTTGTGAAAGTGTTTGACTCAGGCTGATGTAAAAGATGCTGAGACGGGAGTAGTCCAGGTTTCGATACTAGGACGCGTTGTTTGTCTGCTCAGATGAACCTAACGCTTTCCTCTAAGGCTACAGTCCAAGTGACATGCAGGGTAGCTACCGGTGTTTGGAATGTATTGCCGGCGAGTCCTGCGAGGAGTGGCAGACAAAAATGGTGACAACGGTGGTGATACCGAAGAGTCTACGTGACGGAAAAGTGGGGGAAGCGGAATCGGGATGGCGCGTCGACAAGGGTAAGTGCGCTAGCACCGTGTCGCGTCTTCCAACAACTTTGCCAGCTGAGGTGCATTCACCAACAGGGTCACAACTGCATGCTCTTTGTGCTACATTCTACAGATCATCGAGAGAATGAGTGAACATGGCCGCCAACTTCATGCAGGATTTTGGATCCTGCTCCGTATTTTATCCCGACACGGCACGTAGGGGCTTCGCCACCTGGGCAGCCAACTGGATCCAGCTACTCATTATAATCTCCAATCCGCGCTGGTATGCATGACGTCATGTACCGCCGGTAGATGGTAAATTAGCCTAATCCAGTTGATGTTCCATGAACTACATACCCTCGCAGCCTCGGTAGTGCTATACAACAGTATAACTTCCCAGGTCATGCAGAAACGTCGAAGCCTCGTAGACAACCGCCCAGACAGTGCGCAAACATGGCCAAAACCACAGCATTCAACGTCCTCGTTTTCAGCAAGACCACAGGCTACCGTCATGACTCTATCCCAGCTGGTATCCGCATGTTCCACAAGTCAGCCAGCGATACAAATCTCTTTAAAGTCACAACTAGTGAAGACGCCTCGCTGTTCACCTCGTCTTCTCTCGCGCAATATCAAGTCATCGTCCTCCTGCAAAACATCGGCGACGACATCTTCACCCCATCCGAACTAGAAGCTTTGAGGACCTGGGTGAAGAATGGCGGCGGTATCGTAGCTATCCATGGCGCAGCTGCAGCTATGCAAGGCAACGAATACTACACGAATTTGGTCGGAGCAAGTTTCGATATGCATCCCGACCCTGAGCCTGGTACCGTCGTTCCTGAAGAGTCTGGCCAGAAACACCAGATCATGAACTGCTGTGGTGGGCGTGAGGGCTGGAAGGACGAATGGTATAACTTCCACACTCATCCAAGAGAAAACAAGAACCTCCAGATCTTGCTCAAAGGTGACCCGAAGACGTTCCAAGGAGGTAAACACGGAGATGACCATCCGTTGGTATGGTGTCAAGAGTTCGAGGGTGGAAGGATGTTCTTTACGTCTTTGGGTCATTTCGATGAGGCGTACGAGGATCCATGGTTTGTTGGACAGATCAAGAGAGGGTTGCTGTGGGTATCAAGAAGAACGGAGGCTTGAAATAAGGGCTCTGGAATTGTTCGTATCTTTCTCGAGGTGAAGGGGAAATTGTACGGTGACGCGTTGCGGTGCAGAGCGCCTCCTCACCGCGAGTGATAATGGACTAGCGTTAACACATAACAAACGCTCACCTCAAATTCTTCTCAACGCCACGTCCCACACTCTGCTCTAAACACTTCTCTCATCATCTGCCTTTAATTATTGTCCTGTTACACACATTCCACGATGGCTCCCGCAAACGAAACCCCCGCGCCACTGTCACAAGCCGAAGAGGCGGAAGTTGAAGCGCTGCTCGAAAAGGCGAAGAAATTTCCCCCGGGCGTGTTTAAACAGCTCCAGGAGGAAGAGCGCAAGATGCGCGAAATGGCCGCCGCTGATCCAGAAATGGCGCGCTACCTTGAGAGCCTTTGCCGCGCGTACTTGAGCAGCGGAGCGAGTTCGGCGAAACCGGATACCAAGTGGGAAGAGGAAGAGGAAAGCAAGAAGAAAGAGGAAGAGAAGGAAGAGGAGGAGGGTCAGGCGAAGGTCGAGGGTGGTGAAGAGAAAAGTAGATGAAGACAACTTCTGGCTTGGTAAGAATCCACCTCACTAAAATCTTGCCATCTGTGGACATAATAGACTAACAAATTAGTAGCCAAGGCGTGATAGCTACTATCTGATCAGGGGATAGATGCAAATTGAGGTTCTCGAATAGAACATGAAATATCAGTGAACTTCAGACTTATTTGAGGAGAGTCATATAGTCATCATTCGTATAAGAGAAGAGAATCCTACGTAATGCCATACCCTATTAACTCCGCCTTGCTGATACATCATCAATTACCTGTCACTCCTTCGATCCATTGTCTACTCCGCACTAGCATTTGTCTTAGCTGCCGCAGCAGCAACTGCCTTCAAAGCCGCCGGGGCATCGTCCCATGGCATGACCAACTCAACAAACCGCATCTTCTGCGTCTCGCCACTGCTAAACTCTTCATCTTGGAACAGCTTCTCAACCTCCTCCTTCGTCTCCACTCTGTATGTGAGTACACTGCCTTCTTCAGCGCCGAAGACACGGGGAATGTCCTTGTACTTCCATTCCTGGACGTCGTTGTAGGAATCTTCCCATCCGTGAATGAGTCGCTCGATCGTGTAGCCCTTGTTGCAGATGACGAAGATGATGGGAGCCAGCTTGTTGCGGATCATAGTGGAGACTTCTTGAGCGGTAAGTTGGAAGGAGCCGTCACCTGTGAAAAGGATGGTGCGCTTGATGTTTGACTCTTTCGCGGCAAGGGCAGCGCCTTGACAAGAACCGGTTGCGTAGCCGATGGAGCCCCAGAGGACTTGCGAGATGGCGTTGACGCCTGCTGGGAAGCGAGTCTCCCAGATGCCGAAGTTGGAGGTGCCAGTCTCGGTGATGAGGACATCATCCTTCTTCAACCACTGACCAAGCTTTGGCCAGAACCAGGCGTGTTTAATGGTTGGTTCTGTCGATGAAGTCTCCTTGTCCGGGACGTTGTTGTTCGGGTTGGGTCCAGATTCGATGTTCAGCTTTCCAAGCTTGGCTGTGACTTTGGAAAGAACACCGTTCATTCTAACACCAGGATATTCCGAGTATCGTACTTTGCATCCGTAGCTGTGTAGGTCGATAGTCGTAAGCTGTGACATGCGGATGGTGAAGCCTGCAGTGTTGAAATCGGATTTGATAGCACCAATGCTGAGCACGAGGTCGGACGACTCGACGCGTTCACGCACACCAGCGTTTGAACCGTCTCCGGCGTAAACACCACCGTAGTTCGGCAGAGTCTCGTCTACCGCACCCTTTCCCATTGGGGCGACGAAAGTGGGTATTCCAGATTTCTTGATGAGCTCGTGAGTCTCCTTCAGTGCTCGGTGGCGGATAGCGCATGCATCCACAAGAATGACGGGGTTCTTTGCCGCGTGCAGATACTTCAGTACTACGTCAACGACGTAGTCTTCGGCTTCTTGATCGTTTTGCGGGTATTCCAGATCAAGCGGAGTGTTGAGGCGATCGCCGTCGACCTTCTTCGTTACCATGTCGCTAGGCAAGGAGATGTAGACGGGTCTCGACTTCAGGTAACATTCCCGAATGGCGTTGTCGATCAGCATGGCCGCTTCGTGCTGGCTGTTGAGCATCGAGACAGCACACGAGATCTCCTTGGACATGCGCGAGAAGACCGTAAAGTCGCCATTTCCAAGAGTGTGGTGCAGCAGCGCTCCGTTTCTCTGAGATACAGTCGATGGGTAGCCGACGATGTGGACGATTGGGACGTATTCCGAGTAGGCTCCGGCGATGGCATTGACAGCGGACAATTCACCCACGCCGAAGGTCGTTACCAATGCAGAAATGCCCTTGACTCTTGCGTAGCCGTCTGCGGCGTAACCTGTAATGATCGTCAGCACCTATCACATGAGACAGACGGATCGACTTCGGTCGCTCCCGCAAGCGAGCCGCTGATAGCCCGAACGCAAGAACAAGCTCCACGTACCAGCATTCAGCTCATTGCAGTTGCCGACCCATTTCAGGCCGACTTTGGGGATGTAGTCGAGTGCGACGAGGTTGTAGTCTCCTGGAACGCCATGGACGGACTCAACGCCGACTTGCTGAAGTCGACGGAACAGGTACTGGGGTTCTTGTCAGCTAGCGCGCTTTCACACGGGTGTGCAGCCCATGACTTACCTCTGCGACGTCAATCGGGTTTTTGATGTCCTGCGATCGTAGATCTTGCGCCATGTTGCCAAGCTGTCAGAGAGATGAAGCTTTGGATGCTAAGGAAGTAGTTTGTTTGATGTGGTGATGGCAGGCTGTTGGGCGCAGCTACCTTTAAGGGTCCGCGAAGTTTACAGCAATGAGGTCATGTCCGGTCTTTACCGGCCAGCGCCATTGTTGGGCCTGTCTCGTGCGAGTGCATCGGGTGCATGTGGGATGCTGCACCATAGTAACGCGACGCACAGCATACCACGCCGTTTGTCAGCCCAGGTGGCGTGAGCTACCAAGTCTGCGGCATAGTGTTGCTACCGGATGCGTGCACTCGCAGCTCGAAGTCTCCTTGACGACGACATTCTTCGCAACAAGACTAATCCACAATGGAACTGTCTCGCATCAAACACGCGATCGATATGGGTGAAGAAGTCGAGACATCTGGAAGTGGGGCGCATCCTTAGCTTCGTGGGAATTCCATGGTAGCGGAACCACTTTGCCAACATGTTCTTAGTAACTATGCATCATCACCTGCGTGGCAGCAAATGCGAAGAAGGGTCAATGTCAAAGCTTTTCTGAGCATGCAACCCAATGCTCGTATCACAACTTTGGCTCTCGCAGTCTGTCTTTCGTCATCGCCTGCACCCTCTCTACCAACTCGTCGTTCAGCGGCGTTCTCACACCCACTTCCCGTCCTCGCCTTGCCCAGTATCCATTGATGTATCTGATTTCCGTCCCTCTCCTATGCCTCATATCCCATACCATGCTAACGGTCGTCGCTCTGTTCTTCTCGATTATATCCATAACAGTAGCATGCAAGGCTTTCGCTGAAAACCTTTCCTTTACTCCCTCTACGCCCTGTAGTTCTGGTAAAGCGAGGATTACAGACGAGATCTCTTGCATGAGCCTCGTATTGGTTTCTGGGATGCTTAATATGTATGCGGTTACGGCATCTTCGAGCGCGCAGATAGGGTTGCTGAGAGCGTTACAGGCAAGCTTTTCAAGTTGTATCTGGAGTATGGTGGGCCATGGGTAAGCCTGGCAGTTCAGACGGGGTGCGCGAGGAAGGATTTCCAAGACAGGTGAGGGTATCTGTGATATATCACCGTCTTCTCGCGGGACGGGCCCTACCGATGTTGCTGCAGGTCCTGTATGGGTGACATCAAAAGGTCCGTTCAGAGTGATACCATGCGAGATCACACCCGTAATGTAATTTGGTCGCGTGTGTGGATCAGGCCACAATAACATGTTTGCGTCTTCTATCATGCCTGCTCCGTTCTGCAGGAATGTAACATTTGACATGCGCGAGAGTCGGGGTAGAAGAGGTTGGAGGGCTGCCACAGTCTGCGTAGACTTGACACATACGACAAGATCGTTGATAGTTTCGTCAGTTGGGGGTCCTGGTAGCTGTAGTACCTCAGCATTCCCAGCTATGCACAGCTCTTGCACCGTGTGCCATTCTTTTCCGTACAATATTTCCACGTCATAACCCGTTCGGGCAATCTGTTGGCCCTCGCACGTCTGCAGTAGAAGTCTCTTCCCGTTTCTTAGGTACTCGTTCATGAGAGAAGGTCGATGTAGCAGCAGGTTTACTACTGGCCTTGCGGGTATCTCGGCAAGCGAGTGAGCTGTGAAAGTGCCTACACTTCCCAGGCCCAGGACATGGATGCGCGGGGAGGCTCTAGTACTTGAAATGCTGCGATGGTGTGCGGGCTCCTCGGACGCCGACCCCCAGCTTCTGAAGGTGCCTGCGAGGGAATGGCAAGCTTCACGACGCCGGGAATGAAGAACATGCCCCGCTCGAGGCACTCCTACGGCAGAGTTGAGACGCTGACAAATTGCCATCTTGACCCACGTCAAGAATTGAAGATTTTCAGGAGAACAGTTCCTGCTCTTGATGATGGTGCTCCTGGTGGGTGTACATGTCGCGCTTTACGGCCTACGTGAGGAGGCTGACCCTGCTTGCTACCTACCTAGGCAGGTAGCCGCTGCCCCACCACGGATTAGTAGAAGGAAACATGGAAACCAGAGAAATGTGTCTACACCGTTGAAGCGGTGTACTCGACGGGTAAGTTTGGCGGAGATCGCAGAAGGAGCTGAGTCTGAAATTGTTGATACGAGGAAAGGTGGCTACCTGGGTATTAGGATGGCTACGTGGATGGTCGTACGTACGGATGCGCCGATGGCATGTTCCGCTCAGTTCCTGACTAACGATAGACGATAGCTTCAGCCCTGACGCACCGCACCGCAGCCCCGGCCTCGGCTGGTGCTCACTGCGAGGCGTGGTTCGTTCTCTTGGTGTGGCTGTCACGAGTGCACCGCCACGTGCTCGTGTGACATGAAACACGGTCGACGGTGTCTCTCCGGAACGCTACGTAATGAACCATGCGCATTGAAAGTTACTGCAGCGTGGAAGGCGGGTCGAGAGCGCGCAACGGCTGACAGCGTCAGAGTGCTGGGCGCCTCCAACAAATCACCTTGCAAGCTTCACTTGTGGCCCGTGCCTCTCACGACGGCCAGCCCTCAGGCAGCTGTCGACGGCGGCGCGTTCGGTCGCTCAGTCGCTGCGTGCCCCTCGTCGCCGCTGTTGTCGTGCCGCCGTGTCTTCTGACGCTGCAATCTCCCGCCAGGACCTGCATCTGCCGGCGCTGGAGTGCCCATCTTTGTTGCGACGCCGGCCAAGCGCATCCGCCATCCTCGAAGCGCCCACGTCGACGCAAGCGCAGGCGCCGCGTTTCTGCCCTCGATTCACTGCTCAGCGTTCACCCCCCGTTCGTGCCAACGGCTCCGCGATTCGTAGCTCGTATTGCACTGTCCGCTAGGCTCTGGGACCCACAGGTTCCTCAAAGGAGCC